AACACCAATAATGAGAAAAGTTCGTGACACATTTGGGGAATTTGATTTTAAAATTTCGAAAAACCTGATTAGAAAAACCTAATTAGAAACATGTTCAGATCTAAAGCTTGATGGAAAGATCCCAATCTACATTCGACCGTATTCACCAAGTCAGTTCAACCAGATTTTCATTTTACTAAAGATCTTACGAAAAGTTGAGCTTACTAGTTTGCTCTACTAGGTTTTGATCTTACTAAAAGTTACTAAATTTTAAAAGTGTACATTGTGCTTAAAAATGTAAACACACCTTTTCTAAAGCAGTTATTTCTTTCATTTTTCTTGCAAAACTGAGATTTCAGTGCACTAGAAAGAGTTCGTTTACCGATTTTGAGCCTAAAACGGATTCAACGTTTAGCATTTTGTTAATATTAGGTTGTCCAGTTATGGATGCGCGTTTTTACTATTTTGTAAATTTCTCAAGATATCGAACAGATGTATGTGATTGTTATATATCATGCGAAAGCTGAAGATCTCCTCTACATTTTGGAATAAAAAAGTTTTTGAATTCATTCAACTTTTTGGGAAATTGACTGCACAAAGGGAGAGGTCGTTTTCGAAAAAACTCATTCCAGCTTAGCTATTCCTCAAGTTTTATAGTGTAAAATAACCGTTCAGAAAAGAAAAGAAAAGTAAAGATGCTCTGAAATTGTTATATTTAAAAAAAGTTGTATTGATATATCTATTGCCCAAACATCAAACGGTTAACTCAATTTGAGCAGAGCCAAAACTTGATCCAAAGGCAACTTTCCGTTTTTTGGCCACCTCTTCTTCTGTGCAGTCAATTTGCCCAAAAGCTGGACAAATTCAAAAAGTTTTTATATCAAAATGTAGAGGAGATCTTCAGCTTTCGAATAATACTCATATATATCTTTTTTTTTTGATTTCGGTATCTTGAGAAATTTACAAAATAGTAAAAAACGCGCATCCATAACTGGACAACCCAATAAATTGAGCTGAGTTGTAGGATGACGGTAGGATGACGGTAAGGTTACCGTAGGATTACAATAGGATTATGATTGGATTGCGGTAAGGTTGCGGTAGGATTACAGTAGGAATATCGTAGGATTACGATAGGATGACGGTAGGATGACGGTAAGGTTACGGTAGGATTACAATAGGATTATGATTCGATTACGATAGGGTTACGATAGGATTACGATAGGATTGCGGTAAGGTTGCGGTAGGATTACAGTAGGAATATCGTAGGATCACGATAGGATTACGGTAGGAATACGGTAGGTTTACAGTAGGAATACCATAGGAATACGGTAGGATTACGATAGGAATACGATAATTAAATTACTAGCTAAATTAAATTACTTACTAAATTATTAGCGGAATTACTAGCTACAGTAATCCCTGCAATTTTCAGATCAATCTTGTGGCGCCGAGTTGAGGCGGACACCGTCCCCAAAACCAGACAAGAAGAACGCGAAATGAGATTTTATCGTTTAAAAAATTATTTCGAGTATCTTTTTCTTCTTTTTCCTTATTTTCTAACTTTCAAAGTGATTGTTAAATACCGTAAATACTGTAATTGGACCCCACCCCCATAATTGACGGTGCGGAGTGTTGCGTAGTCTAGCTTTGAACGAGTTTTTCTCGACACTGGTTTAAGCTACAATGCGCGTTTAGGTATCAAAAAATAGCTGAAATTCAGGGCTATTTTTTGATACCAAAGCGAGCATTGTAGCTTAAACCAGTGTCGAGAAAAACGCGTTCAAAGCTAGACTACGCAACACTCCGCACCATCATTATCTTTGGTATCAAAAAATAGCCCTGAATTTCAGCTATTTTTTGATACCTAAACGCGCATTGTAGCTTAAACCAGTGTCGAGAAAAACGCGTTCAAAGCTAGACTACACAACACTCCGCGCCGTCATTCTGGGGATGGGGTACTATTACAGTGTTTACGGTAAGTAAATCAATTCTTTTGTAGCTTAAAGTTCGTTTACGACTCGGGTACGAAATTTTACGACCATTTTCTTCTCATTTTTCTTCTCGCATTTTTCAACAAAAAATTTTCTGTGCTTTTTTGTGAAGAAAGAATTTTCATTTTTTTTTTTCGCAAAATTCTCTCGGAAATAAATTCATTTATTGAACACCTGCTGAAAAAAAAAAATGAAAGTACAGACATGGGTACAGACAATTTTAAAAGACAATTGAATAAAAAATAATGCTGAAAAAGTTTTTGAATGTTAGCAAAAATTATAGAAACACTTTTATAAAGGTTTTAACAAATTCACGACAATACAGCTTTACTAATAACAATTATTTTTGGTGTCAGCTTAAATTTTTAAGGAGTTTTTTTTCTTTGTTTTGCCGAAAGTTCTCGATAACTTTATATTAGTTTTTAAGAGGAGATTCAGGGCTATCAAATGACTAGAATGTGTTGATCTCGGATAAATAATTATTTCGATAATTTTGAGCAAATACTGTATTCTCTCTAATAGTAATGCACCCAGAGCGTTGCCTGAATTCCTCGAAATCTCGAGAACCGCTTATCAGAACCTATCGATGTGGGATCGGAAAATGTAGCTGACGATGAGATCTAGTGGGGGATTTGAGTGTTGAGCTTCTGTGAAAACTTGGAAACCGTAAAATAGTCACCAACGCGGCTCTACTCGGCGTAAAATAGTCATCATGAAGTTTAACTTCTGCATCTTTCGCTTCTCATTTTGTATCCCAAAAAGCTCTGCCTACAATTCTTTTTTTTTGCTGTTTTACTGTAAAAAAATCTTCATAATCCTATCAAATCTATTTCCGAAATGTGCATTTTCTTTTACTTTTGGTTCTAACGCTTTTTTGTGAAAGGTACTTTTAAAGCAAATGCGAAGAGTCATTAGCTTTCAACTGTATGTCGTATTTTTGCTTCACCTAAATTGCTCGAAATAAACATCTCTAAGCAAGCCTATTTAACAGTAATTTTGCTAATTGTAAGCCGAAAACAACATCTTGTGGGGGATTTGAGTGTTGAGCTTCTGCGATTTGAGTGTTCAGCTTGATTAGCATTTCCGTGCTATAGTGAGCCGCCTCTATGTGTGCCCCAGGCTTGCCTGTTCCTCGAATCCGAGCCTTTGGCCTTCGTTGGGTCGGATGTGCTGACGTGGTCTTGTGGGGTTTGGTGTTGGCTCTGGGGCTTGGACCCTAAAATGGCATCAACTCGGCTCGGCCAGGGGAGGGGAGGGGAATACTATTGGAAATAAAGAATACCGTATTTTGTCTAATAGTAGTGCACCCAGAGCGTTGCCTGAATTCCTCGAAATCTCGAGAACCGCTTATCAGAACTAATCGATGTGGGGTCGGAAAATGTAGCTGATGATGAGATCTTGTGGGAGATTTGAGTGTTGAGCTTCTGCAAAAGCTTGGAAACCGTAAAATCGTCACCGACTCGGCTCACCCGGGTGCACTACTATTAGAGAGAATACGGTAATTGTTGGATAATGACATTTTAAAATGAACGATCTTGCGTATATAAAGGCGGACATGATTATTTTGAAATCACTTCCATTTTGGTTTTAATTTTCTCGAATTAATAGTAAGTTTTTGTTTTGTTTTTATTATAATCTTTTTGTTTTCTATGTTTTATCCAATCGATCGGTTAAAAAATGTTTTTATTTTAGATAACAAAGGCAAAAGAAAAGAAGAGGAAGAAGTAGAAAGCAGCGCAATAACAGAACAGTTTCTTTCTGTATATTTTTCGTAATGTAAATATACTGGGGATAAAATTGCCTTTTTCCGGTTCTGGTTTCTGGTTTCATTGCCTTCATTTCCTAGATAATTCATTCCTTTATGCTACTCCAGAAATAAAGCCGCTGGCTAAATTGTTTCAACATTTTCAGGCTAAACCGTTTCAACAAAATCCTCTATTCAAATAAGTTTTTGTACTTCAGAAGAAATGAGTGTAAAAGCTTTTTCAAAAACGATGTTCCCTCAATTGCCCGTATTGTTTATTCGATTTTCTGGAAGTCGACTCTCTCGGGAGCAATTGTTCGCCTACTCGCCGACATTCTCGTCTTTTCGAGTCTAGTCTTGTTGATGTAATAATTTTTTGAATTTCATAAGAAATGAATGAAATGAAAGCTTCATAATGAAAGCTTCATAATGGAGGCTAAGGAAAGATAAAAGTTAGCTTGAAATTCGTAGAGAATGGTTTACGAGCAAGTGTAGTGTTAAAAAGAGTACGTAAACATAATGGAGGCTTCATATTGGAGGCTTCATAATGGAGGCTTCATAATGGAGGCTTCATAATGGAGGCTTCATAATGAAAGCTTCACAATGGAGGCTTCATAATGGAGGCTTCACAATGAAAGCTGTTTATGCTAAGAAAGAGAAAAGTTAGCTTGAAATTCGTAGAGAATGATTTACGAGCAAGTGTAGTGTTAAAAAGACACGGTGTAATTGTAAATATCATTCTAAAGGAATGAATGCCTAAAATGGTCTTGCCTTGAAGTGAAATCGGCTTACAATCAGCTGATCCGATCTTTAGAAAAATCTTATCAAATAAAGCTTATCAAGTCAAAATTTTATCAAAATTTATCAAAATGTTTATCTCGAATTCTTTTCTGAGTTATTTCCATAAAAAGTGACCTCATCAGGATCAGAGAAAGCAGACAACCAGATCAGACAATCAGAGCAGAAAATCAGGATCAGAGAGACAAAAAAAGAAAGTGACAAAAAGTGAAGCAGATTTTCAAGTTTTCAGTCCACAAAAAGCCATTCAAAACAAAAAGTTCCGACAAAGATTTGGATTGAAAAGTGAAGGGAAAAGGGGGAAAGGAGAATGGTTTTGTTTGAGAGTTCTCCATCTTCTCCTTCTCCTTCTTCCTTTTTCTTTCTCAATTTTCTCCTTCTTCCCCTCTAGGCACATTGCCATTTTATACACTCACTTTTGATTGAAGCAACAGAAAATCAATATTACTTCATTTTTTCCATTCTTTTCATTCTTTTCATTCTTTTGAATGCTAAAAAGGATTCTCGTTTTATTCGTGGTGATTTGTATTTCTTGGTAGGTTGGATGGATTGCACTTGTAGACCTTGTTGCACTGGATTATGTAAGATACTTTGTGCTTCGAATTTTGTAAACACACGCTTTCTGGGGCACTGAATGCAATAGTGTTTTGCAGAAAATCATGAATCCAGTGCAGTAGATAGGATGCGTTTGAGGAAAAATAAAAAAACACCAAAAAGCAGGCTGAAGTTTAGTTAATTGCTTGATACTAGAAGTTGATAGTAGTGTCAATTTAATTATTAATAATTATTCTTAATTCTGATTCTTAATTATTAATAATTATTCTTAATTCTTAATTATTAACATAAATATTACATAGTAAACATAATGGAGCCTCCATTATGAAGCCTCCATTATGAAGCCTCCATTATGAAGCCTCCATTATGAAGCCTCCATTATGAAGCCTCCATTATGAAGCCTCCATTATGAAGCCTCTATTATGAAGCCTCCATTATGAAGCCTCCATTATGAAGCCTCTATTATGAAGCCTCCATTATGAAGCCTCCATTATGAAGCCTCCATTATGAAGAATGATTAATAATTATTCTTAATTATTAACATAAATATTACATAATAGACAAAATCTATAATAATTGATTATTTGATTCAAAAAAAACAGGGATTTAGATTATTTTAGGTCTCAATACTTGCGTGGATCTCGAATTGGCGAAAATAAAGGTGAAAAGATTACTGTAGAAGAGTAAAATCAATCTAATTCTATCATAGAATATTTATAAGATAAAAAGGATTCAGTTTTTGCTTTTAGGAGTGAACATAAAGGGACTACAAGGTCTACAAGGTCTACAAGGTCTACAAAGTCTACAAAGTCTACCAGCTTCACAAAGGAAACCCTGGTACTTTGATGGGACTGTGTCGAGAAGCAAAAATCGTTTAGGTAAACTTTTAAACTTTTAAAAACAAACAATCTTTTAGATATTTCATAGATTTTCAGATTCTATATGTAAATTGAAATGTAAAAAACGTTTAAATTCGATTTTAAGCCCCTTCAAAAGGCGTTCAATTCGCCGCTCCGCAACTCGTCCGTTACTATCCGACTTTCACGATACCCAAACAATTTCTGCAAGGAAATCAAGGTCTAGAAAACTAAAAACTACAATAATCTAATAAAAATGCTAACTATTCTGCGATCTATCATCATAATAGAGTGTGTTCCTCGCGAGTAAGTAATTACTCGAGTAAATTTTTTATTCGAGTAATAGCTCGAGTAATTGTCGAGTAATGCGTTTTCTAAAAAGTGCGCCTGCGCGAAACAAATATAAAAGCTATTTTTTAGGCAGGTTTTGGGTAGGCTAATTTGCGCAATTTTTTTGTGCAACAGGGTCATTTGCGCATTTGCGCAACAGGGACTGGATCGTTTGCGCAACTCGCCATAACTTTCTTCTAAATCGGCCAATCTCTATGATTTTGGTTTCATTTTGTAGATCTCAACAAGTGCGCAACAAAAAATGACACCAAAATCATAAAGATTGGCCGACTTAGGAGAAAGTTATGGCGAGTTGCGCAAATGATCCTGTTGCGCAAAAAAAGTTGCGGAAACTAGCCTACCCCCAGGCTTTTCAACAAAAAATCATTTTTTTCCCAAGGAAAGGGATTTTCCACCAAATCAGTTAAACGGCTGAGTATCTTTTATCTTTAAAAAGTGTCGTATATAATGCCGGGCTCGTCATTTTTGCGGGGGGTGGGACAAATGCGACCTTTTTTTTGCGCACCTGGACATTTGCGCACCTTTTTTGCTGGAAAAGGCCTTAGGAAAGGTCGTAGAGCTTCAAAAATGTTTTCTTAGAAGGGAATCGTATGCGTAGATTCCGAATTTCGACAAATCAGACCTCGCTGACACGTCAAATTTGGGCTAAAAGGCAAAAACTGCGGAAAAGCGTTAAGTTGCGTAGTTTTTGCCTTTTAGCCCAAATTTGACGTGTCAGCGAGGTCTGATTTGTCGAAATTCGGAATCTACGCATTCGATTCCCTTGCATGAAAAGATTTTTGAAGCTCTACGACCTTTCCTAAGGCCTTTTCCAGCAAAAAAAAGGTCGCATTTGTCCCACCCCCATAATTTTTGCTAAAAGTACGGTAATCTTTTTCTCAAGTGTGCGTTTTAAAAAACGCATTACTCGCGAGGAACACACTCTACATCATAAATAATCGAATCTAATTGCACCCAAAAACTAAACTGCTTTAACAACCTTTATACACTTTTTAAGTGGCTTTAAATTAGTATTGTTCTCTCTTTTTTCGTTTAGTTATTGATTATTCGTTATTGGCTATTGGTTTATGAAGATATTTTACCGCCCGTTTGCGCCTTCTTTCCTCCTTTCTTTTTTTCCCTGTTTACGATTTGAATTGAATATAGGTTTATGAGAACAAAAGCCTTTTTCACAGGTCCGATCACCACCGAACAACTGATTGCAATGGCGTGGGCGATAGATTCAAGAAAACCACGAGACAACACGAAAAAATGAGAATGATATCAAGAATCCACGCTGAGCTCATTTATTTTCAGCTTATAAAGTAATAAATCTTAATTTTAAAGTTTTCAAAAACTTTCGCAAAATACTTATGAACAGATAGCTCATCGATAGAGTGTGCTAAATGGTTTGTGATCGGTTTTCTAAAACATGTCAACGTTTTAGCTCTCTAACTCTTTTCATAAGCTCTCTAACTCTTTTCATAAGCTCTCTAACTCTTTTCTGGTCTACATTATGTCACCATTATGTCCAAACTTAAAAATTTGCTTAAAAACTGCTACATAATATAAAAAAGCATTCAAATTAAGAAAAAATAATCCTTTGGCAGGAAATAAAAATCAATCAGTTTCTTAAATCAATGTTACAACCTTGTAACCATACTTATGCCGCACCCTGTAGATCCTGGTCTTGGTCTGGCTTCTGGCCTTGTTCTTTGTCTCTAGGTCTTTGTCTGGCCTAGATTTTGCGGTCCATAAAACTTCCTGGACCGACAGACTTCTGGCCAGGCCTTGCCTGTTCTGGTTGGCTTGCTGACTCTAGGATTTGGTTAGATATCCCTGAAACTTATTACAAAATACAATCAAATACTTTCAAGGCTTCTTATCCTCACTTATCATCCTTTATTTTTCTCATTGTTCTTCTCTCTGCTCGACCTCGATTTGCATGTGAAATTTTGCGTAATTGATACCCAATGTGTGGAGAGACAGAGAAAAACAAGGGGGAAAAAAGGAGGAAAGCGGTGTGTCTCTTGATGTATTTGTGGTTTATTTTGCGTTCTTTTCTCTCTCACTCTCATTCCTTTCTCTTTGACCCATCGAATCAAATGGATTGCAGGGAAAGGAGGGGATGAATGTGTTTCTTATTCAACCCTCTTCTCAACATTCCTTTCATCCAACAACAGCTTCGATTTCTTCTTTACTCCTTAACGTTTCGTGTATTGGTCTTTCACCATTATGCATTTATTTTTACATATTATCTTTGCTTTTTGGGATTTGTATACTTTGTTCTATTTTTGCTATTACTTTATCTCTGAAAGATCTACCGTAAATACTGTAATAGTATGGGTACTATAATCAGCAGTTTCTTTTGCAAGTACCCACCGTAAATACTGTAATAGTACCCCACCGCCCTCGTACAGTCGCGTAGTCGCAAAAGTTATTTAGTATTTCATTTTTCAAAGCGCTCAATATTGGTATCAAAAAATAGCCCTGAAATTCAGGGCTATTTTTTGATACCTAAGCGCGCATTGTAGCATAAACCAGTGTCGAGAAAAACTCGTTCAAAGCTAGACTACGCAACACTCCGCACCGTCATTATCTTTGGTATCAAAAAATAGCCCTGAATTTCAGCTATTTTTTGATACCAAAGACGCATTGGATGTAATTGGACCCCACCCCCATAATTGACGGTGCGGAGTGTTGCTAGTCTAGCTTTGAACGAGTTTTTCTCGACACTGGTTTATGCTACGATGCGCGCTTAGGTATCAAAAAATAGCTGAAATTCAGGGCTATTTTTTGATACCAAAGCGCGCATTGTAGCATAAACCAGTGTCGAGAAAAACTCGTTCAAAGCTAGACTACGCAACACTCCGCACCGTCATTATCGGGGTGGGGTACTATTACAGTATTTACGGTATATTTTTAGTCTAATTGCAAGGCTTTCGATTTTCCTTTCGTCCTTGCAAAGATATCTTGAGAAAATCGATGAATGAGTGAATCAGAAAGGGATATTTCTACAATTTTAAGCTCAAAACCACTCATCAGTTTATTCTTTGGTGTACTTTGTGCTTAAAATTGCAAAAACGCTTCTTTTGGTTTCAATTTTGAAATAACAAATATCATGGATTCCCTAAAAAAATGATCTAAATGAATTTCTTTACTCTTTTCTTTTTATATTTCTTTACTCTTCTCATCCATTCCCTTCAAAATCGTAAATCTAGGAGAAGAGAAAAGAAAGAAGAGAGAAAAAGAAAGAAATAAAAAGAGCCGACCAAAACTGTAAAATCGAGGATCGGTGAAAAGAAAGGACATAGAGGAATCTCCGAACACTCATATCGATCACACTCATATCAAAATCTCCGAACAAGCACTCATATCGATCCTTTTTTTTGTGTACATATGACTCTAGCAGACTTAAAATTATATAAATCAATGAAATACTCATTCATTGCTCAAATTTAATCCTACTTATATGTAAATGTTTATCTTTAATCCACGAGAGTCACATTTACGTTATAGCTTACTTGTGATTTACTGTGCTTGATCAAGAAATAAGTATTTCTTTAAATGCTACACCCGAGAAAAGCTATCACCCGAGAAAAGCTTTAAATGCTACACCCGAGAAAAGAGTACTCTGACAATGGGCAGAACTGTCTTAAAGGAGTTTCATTTTCGTTCTACTCGAGGAAATCGTTAATCTTTATTATTCCCCAAATCGAATATTCAGTCAAACTCTGAACTCTCCAATTGATCGATCATCCATTCGATATCCCCTTCCTCCACAGCTGTTCTTCCCCCTTTTTCCATTCAATCGTTAATTCCCTCCACTCAAATTGCCAATGGAAATCTTTATGTCACTTTTTACAATCTATTTCCTATCATTTTCTTTACTAGCATTCGAAAAATGAATTAACTTTAACTAATGGATAATTCTTCTTTCGTTTTTTCGTTGTTTTTTTGTGCTTTTTGTTGCTTTTTTTTGTTTTTTTTGTTTTTTTGTTTTTTTCGTTATTTCAGTTCTTTTCCTATATGATTCTATGAAATGATAATATTTTTTCAAACGTTTTTACGCTTTTTATATCATTCATTTATCTTACATTTAATTTACAGAGATCCCACCCGGCAATGGCCGGCGCTGTCATCGAAAATCTCAGCAATCAGAAGTTGAGCTATATTTTGGGGCTTCTATTCCTCGTGCAAATCGCTTTTTTCCTCGTTGGTGCATGGCTTGGTAAGGGTTTATTTTAAATATCATTCAAGTTTTAAACACTTTAAATCAATTGACTGAACTGATGATGAATTAGTGAATCGTGTGCTTCATTTTTAGCCAGAGAGCCTGAATCATTTTCAAGCTAAAATTCAACAAATTCTAAGCAAGCTAATGGAATAAAGCTTCCAACTTTCACTATTCACCCCGAAACCCAAACATTTCCAGCTCCAAAGCCCACCTCATCGATGGAATTCCTCTTTCGGAGTTGCATCGACGCGAATGTGACCGGGAGAAATTGGGTGGATCATCAAGTAAGGAAAGCTTTCAATTACTAGAAAAAGAAAACGAGTTTATAGATCTATTAATATTTTCCGTAATAGATTAACTTAAAATTTACAGAACTGTCATGAGATCGAGCTCGCCGAACACAAGCCTCTCTCCTACGATCTCCGGGAGATCGTTTTCATGACCCAAATGCCACACAAGCGGTGAGTTTTATAAAAAAAGAGTTTTCAATTAAAATCGAAATTTTAGAGATAACCAACAGCTTCGCTATCATCCATCGTTTCAATTTCTTTTGGGCGTAATGCAGCCAGAGATCCGAAGCACTGCCGCTTTCAAACATGGTAAGAATTTCGAGACTTTTAGGGAAAATCTCTTTTGTAAAATCTGGTATAGCATTTCATTTCAGTTCGCGGATCAAAACTTCGTTTGGAGGTGCGAATGGGAGCGAGGGGTGGAGGGGACGAGAAATGGAGAGACTGGATCGAGGCTGATGTCGTTCGCGAGCTCGATTGTCATTTCCCTTGGGTTGGTGTTGAGCTCAAATTTACGCAATTACTCAATCACGTAATTACTCAATTACTCAATTACTTTAATTCAAATTCACTCAATTTTCTTCAATTTTCATTCTCTAGCCTTTCAAATTGGATTTGAAAGAGGGAAATTGACATTCAAATGCAAAAATAATGTGAAAGAATTGTTGTAGAAAAATTAAGTTAAATTTGAAACAGAACTAGTTTTATTTTCTTCTGAAAAGTTTAAAAATGACTGATATAATTGTATTAGGTTGTCCGGGATGAAAATACCCTTTTAATGAAAAACAAATTTATCTCCACAAAAAGAAAACAATACGCTTTAATCCAAAAGATATTCTCCGTTGTTGGCGATAGTATTTCTCCATTTTTCTTTCAAATCTCGGATCCCTTTGCTGAAGAAATCCTGAGGCTGCGAGTCGAAGTATTGGCCTACCCAAATTCGGAAGTTGAGGGTATTTTCATTCCGGACACCCTAATAATTTGTGATGATCCAGTAAAAACCACCAGCATCATTCTAATAGAAATAGCTCTACTTCTGATTTTTTTCAAAAACTATAAATATAAAGTATCCGGGGGGTCTTTCAATATCCGGGGTGATAAAATTTTTTATACGTTATAAGTGATTTGGTGGCAAATTCCCTTCAAATGTAAAGATATTCAATTTATTACTTACTCGTGCACTTTATTACTTGTTTATTCGTTGCTGGTATAGTTATAAAGTTTAGTTACCACACGCAAACAGCGGTAGAGCCATATTAACAAAAAAAAAAACATTTTTGCGCATTTGGTTGGTTTTTGAAAGTTTACCCCGGATCTTAAAATTTTACCACCCCGGATATTGAAGGACCTCCCGGATACTCCACAAGTACCGAATCAATCTAATAGAAATAGCTCTACTTCTTTGATTTTCTTTTCAATAGCCTTTATTAAGGAGTTACATTAGTCAACTATGAAAGAATAAACTCTTAAAACTCTTGTAGAAGACGTTAGAAATGATTTAATCAAAAGAATTCACTTTCAACTAGTGCAGGGTCACGAGAGCGGCGATATGCACTGTGACGCGTTGGATTTCTTCGAGATTGGCTATGTTCCGTTTCCTTTCTACGTAATGAACATTCGAATTCCGATCGATCGAGAGTTTGTTACAAGAAAATATTTAACATTTTAACAGATTTCAAATTACAAACAATTTCTAGAGGCTGTGCGCGGGATCCGAAAAACACGGCAAACTGTGACCTCGGCGAG